AGATTAAACTTACAAAAATATGTGCTTATCACTTAAAAGTTTCATGTGTTTCAATTTATTTGTGTATCATTCAGTGTCTAGAGGTATAAGATAAAATTACACCCAGCTGAGGAGGTATTTGAAGTCTAGGGAGTTTAAGTGACTTGTCCAAGATCACAAAGTGAGTTACTGGCACAGAGTAATCAAATTTAGAAACTTTAATTTCTGATTGCTGGCTCTCTCCACAGCTGAGCAGAGACTGTTATGGGAATTTGGGGGTAGTTTTTATATTAAAACATACATCCTGAAACATTTTTGTATTCAGTTTAAGACAAAAGTGTTGTTAAATCCTTCAATATGTACAAATACCAAATTCATTCAAAACCATATCCACAAAATATTAACCACTATCACTAAATGCTAACCTTCCCTTGAAAACTTAAGATGTAAGAAGAGCTACCCAGAATTCCAACCATAAACTTTGTTGAAAAATTTCTAACAGAAATCTGTAACAGAAGTGTTACTCTTCTCAAGTACTTGACCAACACCCTTAAATCACTTTATTTTCCATTTCCTCCAAGTGAATCAAAATAGTTTATTAGCTGAATAAGGCAGGAAGAACAGGCAGCAGATTCCGCGCCCATTTACAAAACAATAATTGACCCTTTCCCAGTGGTCCCAGGGCTAATACATACTATTATCAACTAAATTTAAAATTTAAAGCCTAGAAGTTACAGTATCTGTTTTTTTAAAACTAGCTTGAATATAACACAACTTAACTTTCTGAACTATAAACGGCAGGGAATCTTTAGTTAGGCATAGGAGAATGAGAATATTAGAATGATAACTGTGTCTTCTGGGTAGTAGAGACATCAAAATTTTATTAAGTAAATTAATTTGGATAGTGAAGACATTTTAAGTTATCCATACTAGAAATATAGTATCCCAAAGCTCATGATTAAGGCAGAAGTTAACCCAAATACTATTAATCTTCCCGAGCAGAACGCTTGAATACAGAGGCAGTAACTTAAATCTTTGATGTCAAACAAACTGATGTAAAAATCCAAGTTCCATTTTTGAAGAGGGTATCTTTCCAACCTCCAGTTTCTACATCTGTAAAATGGGGATAACGGCCTCGCAAGATTGTAGCACCTGGCAAAGACAAAGCCAACAATCCCGCCTCCTTCATAAAAAAAAGACATTGTATTTTAGCATTGTTCTGAAACAGTTTGTCCTTATGAAATGCGTATTTCTTCTTGAATAGGAAATTTAGGTATGCCAAGACCAAAGTTTCTCTTTTTCTCCTGGACAAACATACACAAAGTAGCATCCACCTTATTTCAGTTATGTTAAAACCTGAAGAGTGGTTCTACCTTCACAAAACTGGGGAAAATTGTCAAAAGGATGCATTTATGACAACTTGAAACACTATAACATATTCATTATTTATTTAATTTTTCTGAAAAAAGACTTTATTTACTCATGGGGGGGGGGCAGAGACACAGGCAGAGGGAGAAGCAGGCTCCATGCAGGGAGCCCGACTGGGACTCGATCCTGGGACCCCAGGGTCATGCCCTGGGCCAAAGGCAGACAGATGCTCAACTGCTTAGCCGCCCAGGCGTCCCCATAGTCCTTACTTAAAAAGTGAAGATATACACAAACTCTGGGAATTAGTGGAAACAGAATAGTTCAATAAAGAAGAAAACAATCTCCAAAGCGGTCTAGCTCAGTGATAGTCAAAGTAGGGTATAAGAAATTCCCTGGAGTGCAGGGAGAAAAAAAAAATAGAACTCCAATTTCCATTTTTACCTCATTCTCTAAATTTCTGACATGTTTTATAGTGCATACTTATTATTTATACATATTCAGACATTGAGAATACAAGCTTAATTTTTTTTGACAGGGTGTACACTAAAAAATGCTGGAGATGACTTTTCCAAACTGTGAAACTAGAGAACACATGCATAAATTCACTAATGAAAATCGTTGAAGACCCACGTTAAGCTTAAACACTAACAGAAAACCCGGAGTTACAAGTTTTTTACAACAACTAAATTTATAACATTCAATACTTACTTAAAATGTAGTTAAGAATAGGTATAGAGTTCTACTTTAATTTGCTTTTTAGTCCAGCTGGATTACCAATGACTGCACAAAGCAGAACAAAGTCCATTGCCTTAAATTAAATCTGCTATTAACCACTGTGAATGTGTCTTGCAGGTAGTACACTTAACAAAAATTAAGTCTTAAGTCTGTCATCAGGTTCACCCTCAATGTCTATATTCTAAAACTTCTTTGATCATACAAAAGCCTTTCCTAGCTTTATTTTACAGGATGGTTGGTTTCAATGAGATGCAAAGCCTAAAAGACGGGGCCAATTTAACATTTGGAAATGGCCATACGCTCCTGGGGAGTACAAATATGAGGTCAACACTGCCAACTTTCAACACTATCAAAAGCAGTGGTTTGTTTTTTTGAAAGACACTGGAACCAGAGACCATCTACATGAGTTCTAGCCTATATGACTCAGAATTCCATTTGTCCTACCCTTTGCTTCAGAGCTGAAGTCAGAAATGTCTCCATCTGTGTCATAATTATTTCCAAAGCCAATTAAGAGATGGCAAACAGAAAATTATGACTTCAGGTAATGAATAAAATGGCAAGAACGGATAATTGTTTAGAATGAACATTTAGTTCACCCAAAGCAGACAAGTAAATTGAGTGATTTGCTTTGTTTATTCACTTAGAGAAAAGACAAATCATTACACTTTAAAAGAATGCAGGGGTGCCTGGGTGGCTCAGTCAGTTACACATCAGATTCTTGGTTTCAGCTCAGGTCACGATCTTGTGGTCGAGGGACTGAGCCCCACATTGGGCTCCACGCCCAGTGTGCAGTCCGCTCCCGATTTCTTCCTCCTTCCCCTCTGCCCCTCCCCACTAGTGCAGGCGCTCTCTCCCTCAAATAAATATATGAAATCTTTAAAAACAAAAAACAAAAGGGTGCAAACATGGTAAGTTGCCTCGTTCTCCATAGGAGTGGGAAAGCCCTTTACAGATTTTATTATGGTGCTTGCTGCTGAGGGGTAGAGGTAGCAAAGGGGTCAATGATCCCACTAGAGGTAGGAAAAGGGGTGTTAAGACCTTTTTCTGGTCTTAAGAGAGGATAGAAGATGATGACATGCTTTTAACAGTACTGTCAACTCTAGGAAATATTAAGTGTAAGAGGAGTAGTCAGCAATTTGTCTACATGTCCTAAGACATAAATAGAACCACATTTCCTTATTAACCAATAAGTACAGCCCAATAAGCACAGCAAAACTAAAGACTTTATCTCATTTGCTATTAAATACATTATAAAATATTATCTTAATAGTTTGTACAAAATAAAAACTCAAAATGAATTCAGTTTAAATAATGCATTTGTATAAAAAAGACAACAGTTTGTGTAAATAGGGACCATTTTTTCGTGCTTTTAAGAGTACAATACAGATACGGACAAAAGTTTGCATTAAACTAAATATACAAAAGATTTCATTATCTTGTCCCTCAGGCAAACTGAAGTCAATGTTCTTTTCTTTTGTTACCATCAACTGGCACCACAAGCAACCTGTGCCCAGGAAGTGCCCTCCTAGTATGGCATTAAGGGTCTTTCATACTCAAGCCTGAACGCACACATTCCCAGCCCCTTTCCACCACACCCCTTCGAAGACCCCAAGCGCCTAAATAAATAAATAAATAAAACCCCACTTTCTAATTAGAGCTAGAGACCAATCCTCACATTGTTCCCGGGTCATTCTTTGTCTCCATTTGTTAAAGTCCCTGCAGGGTCGGTGTCCTCACAGGTAGGGCTGTCACCTACTACACAGAGTGCCATTAACCGCACGTTAGTTTGATTAAACTTTGGTTTCTTAAGGGCAGCAAGTTTGTGTGAATCGACCTCACATTTCCAACTCCCATAAACTCAACACCTGGCAAAATAGAAGCTTGAAACCTAGCAATTCCTTAATGCTCTTAACCGAATGGCCAACTCATCCTGGACTTGTAGGTGGGGGCGGTACGGCTTCATCCCCCGTAAGGTGAAACAGCGCTCTCAAGCATCGCAAAAACACCCTCCCCCCTCCCCAAACAGGCCCAAATAAAACAAACAAAAACGCAAGGCATCTGAGTCTTCTTTACCAAACTACCGGAATAAACGGTCGGTGGAAGGGTCCCAGCTTCGCGGGGTGCCTGGAGCAGCAGTCCTCGGCAGTCTGTGTCCTTTACCCAGAGTGCAGACGGGGTTTTCGGATTAAGATCCCAGAGGCGAGCACGGAGCGCAGGGCGAAGCGCGGCCCCAGCGCGCGCACAGGCCTCTCGCTGCCCGCCCAGCGCTTACACCGCCCGGGGCGGGGGCGGGGGCGGGGGGGAGGTCACCCCGGCGGCAGCGCCGTCGCGGCCCCACTCGCCCCGAGAGCCCCGCACCTGCCCGTGGGGAGGCCGCGGGGGCTGCTCTCCGCCCGGCCCTGGGGTCGGGCGCGGGGCACAGGGCCTCCCCCCGCGCACACCGCACAGCCGCTCCGGGAGCCCCAGACACAGGTCCTTTGTCTGGACCACGTGGGAGGAGTCTGCGCGCAGCGCCGAGGATTCGCCGAGGCCGTGTGAGCGCGCCCGGAGGCTCGGCTCCGTTACGGTGCCGGCCGCTGTCCCGGCGTCGGGGGCGCGGAGGGCGGGGAGGGCGGGGAGGGCGGGGAGGCCGCGTGCCCCGGGGCGCACCTGCGCGGCCGCAGCATCCACCCCTGCTGCGGGGCGGGCCGCGCCAACTCCTGCCCCCGGGGCGCCGGCCCCGCCCGGCCGGGGATGCGCGGCTCGGGATGCGCGGGGCTCCGGCAGGGTAACCCGGGCTGCCCCCGCGCTGCCCCGCAGGGTGACCCGGGCTGCCCCCGCGCTGCCCCGCAGGGTGTCCCGAGCTGCCCCCGGGCTGCCCCGCAGAGTGACCCGGGCTGCCCCGCAGCCCCGCCGCCCGCGCCCCCCGCGGCACTCACCCTGGCGCCCGACGATCTCGGCGACGTGCTCGGAGCTGGGCACCGGGACGCACTCGGTGGTGTTGACGCTCTTCCTCCGCAGCAGGGCCGCCTGCTCCCCGTTGAGGGCCGCCGCGCCGCAGCCGCCGGGCCCGTAGGCGTGGGACAGCACGGCCGCCATCATGGCCGGGGCGGCCGCGTCCCCGTACAGCGCCCCCGCCGCGTCCCGGGCGTCGAAGCCGGCGGCGGGCAGCAGCACCGGCCCCAGGGGCCCGCCCGGCAGCGGCGGCGGCGGCGAGTGCGGGGCGGCGGGCGGCGACAGCAGCAGCAGCGGCGGCCGGGGCTCGTCGGCGTCGTCGGGCTCGTCGGCGTCCGGCCCCGCCCGCCCCGGCCCCGGCCCCGGCCCCGGCCCCCGCTGCCCGGCCCCGTCCCCGGCCCCGGCCCCGTCCGCGTCCCCGGCCCCGTCCGCGTCCCGGTCCAGCGCGGCCTCCGGGGCCCCGGGCCTGCGGGGCGGGGCGCGCTCCTCCGCGGCCGGGGCGGCGCTGCCGGGCTCGGCGGGGCCGGGGTCGTCGAGGCCTAGCGCGGCCAGGCGCCCCCGCAGCAGCGGCGCGGCCCCGGCGGGCTCGGGCTCGGGCTCGGGCGCGGGCTCGGGCTCGGGCGCGGGCGCGGGCTCGGGCGCGGCGGGCGGGGGCAGGGGCGCCAGGGCCGCGGAGCTGCCGCTCGGCATGGCGGCGCGCGGGCGGCGGTCAGGCGCGGCGGGCGGCGGGGCCCATGGCGGGCGCGCTGGCGGCGGGGCGGGCGGCGGGCGGCGGGGCGGACCCCGGGGCCGCGGCGCGCCAGGGCCGCCCGGAGCCTGCAGACGGCGGGGTGCGGCCGAGCCGCGGGCCAGGCAGGTCCCGGCGGTGGGTGGGGACGCGGCGGCGGCGCGGCTCCCCTCTCAGGGCTTCTTTTGTTCCATGGCCTCGGCCAGCCCCCGGCGCGCGCCGCGGCGGCCACGCCCCACGCCCCACGCCGCGCTCCCAGCGGGGCCGGCGCGCTCCGATTGGCTGCGCCCGCCCCCGGAACCCGCCCCCTCCGTGGCCCCGCCCCCGCCCGCGCCCCGGGCCCCGCCCCGCCGCTCCCCGGAGCTCGCTGATTGGGCGGCCGGGCCGGGCCGGGCCCCGCTGCCTTCCCCTTCCGTCCGCTCCCCTCCCGCCGACAGGGGCCGTGATTGTCCGCTTCGCACGTCAGTCTTTGTGACGCGACGCCTGGGGGCGGGGAAAAGCGGGCGGAGGAAGGCGCGGTAGCCGCTGAAGGCCGGGCTGCGCGGAGAGCGCGTCTGCGCAGGCGCGAGCAGCGGAGGCGGCGGCGGCGGCGGCAGCGTGCACCTGGGCGTCCCCGCCTCCCCGCGGTACGGGTCCCGGTCGGCCTCCGTGCGCGGGCAGCCTCGGGGTGCAGCGCGGGCGCCGAGGGCGCGGTCCCGTCGTTCGGGGGCCGGAGCCCGGGGGCAGTCCTTGGAGGAGCGGGGGGCGGGGTCCTCCTGGGCGGCTCCGGGCGCTGCTCCCGCGGGGCCGGGCCCTCCCCCGCCCGCCGGCCTGGCCTCCAGGGCCGCCCAGGTGCCGCGGGGCCCTCGAGCTCCACCCGACTTCTTTGGGGCTTTTCAAGGAAGTTAAGCCGTTTCCTCCTGCGACGCGCTCTTCCCCAGTGTGGCCCAGGCCACCCCACGCGGGGTCTCCTCTGCAGGTGCATTGTTCCGCGGCCCCTTAGGAGCCAGACCGGCTGCTTCCCGACGTATCGGGCCGGGGGCCCGCCCCTGCCGCCCCTGCCCCCGCTGCCTCCGCTGCCTCCACCCCTCCCGCATCCCCACCCCCTCCCCCTCCCCACCTCCACCCCCTTCCCCGCCTCCACCCCCACCTGCACCCCTCCCCGAACCCCACCTCCACCCCCCACCCGACCTCCATCTGCACCCCCTCCCCGAACCCCACCTCCACCTGCACCCCCTCCCCAACCCCTACCTCCACCCCCTCCCCGAACCCCACCTCCACCTCCGCCCCCACCTCCACTTTCACCCCCTCCCCGCCCCCCCTCCCCCCCCTTTACTGCCGCGCGGTCTCAGGGTAGTCTAAACCCACGTGGTCCTACACAACGACGACAGCAGCCTAGTGTGGTTTTAGGGTTTCTACTGACCCCATTGGAAAAAGTGAGAAGAAGTAGCTAATAGCCTCGATTCAGCGTATTCAGAACGACCCTTCAACGTGCAGTCAGTAGACCACCACTGATGGTAGGTTTCTATAGTTTCTTTCGGTCTGGACGGTGCGCGTCTTACACTTAGGGACGCGCCCCCCCGCAGCCCGCAGCTCCATCGCCTTCACCTGCACCAGCAGCAGCCCCGCCTGGCCTCCGAGTCCTAACCTGGGACCTCTGTGCGGGCGGATGTGTTCATCCTGTGCTGCCGCCGCAGACTCCCACGAGCGGACTCCACTCGAGCACCGCTCTGGTCCGTTGTCCGGGATGTCACAGACAACTGGCTTCTCCAGCTGCTGCACGAGCCACGAGCCCTACTTCAGTTTGCTCCACCCCTCCAAGCAAAGGCCCAGAGAATTTTAGCTAACACGAGAACTTCCCGGTTATTCCAAGGTTTCCCTGGACCTCCTCTAACCCTGCACCTTGCTTCCCTAACAACGTATGTGTAGACCAAGCCCTGGAGCAGTGATGTCAACCCTGGATGTACAGCAAAGTCAAGAAGGGCTTAAAAAAAAAAAAAAAGGAACTGCAAAAGGGGAGGCCAACTCTGGATATTTGGATTTACTGGGAGATTCGGAGTGGAAACCTGGACATGTTTTTAAAGGCCTCACAGAGGGATCCCTGGGTGGCACAGCGGTTTGGCGCCTGCCTTTGGCCTAGGGCGCCATCCTGGAGATCCGGGATCGAATCCCACATCGGGCTCCCGGTGCATGGAGCCTGCTTCTCCCTCTGCCTGTGTCTCGGCCTCTCTCTCTCTATGACTATCATAAATAAATTAAAAAAAAAATAAAGGCCTCACAGATTGTTCTGAAGCTCCGCCAGGGTTGAGAACACTGATCTAGGGCGTGGTTTGGGGTTTGCAGAAGAAATTTCCTATTAACTCTTGAAAAATGATCTTTTTCTCCCCTGCCTTCCCAATTGGGTACGATTGTCACTGATTTACTACGTCTGCACCCTTTCTGTCATATGCCCAAAGGACGTCTTAATTCACAACATCTTAACAAAAGTACCGAAACTTTTAATGTACCAGTGAGTAGCTTGTATAACAACATTTACTTGTAGAACATACAAGTCCTGTATGTCTGCTGTCTGATATTTCAGTGTAAACAACAACCATCTTTCAAAGGTAGATCTAGCAAAGCAAGAAAACGGAGAAAATAAATGCATGCAGTGGCCTCTCCCAGGATACATTGATCATTGGGAGGAAATCTGTATTAGGATTACAAACGAAATTCTCCAAAGTTCCTTTCACCACCTCTTTTCATTGAGTCGTCCTTTGATGCACACACCTTGGCCTTAAGTTCTTTTCCCAAGGGTCTTAAGTTCTTCCCAAAGGAAGAACAGGAGTGATGCTTCACCACACATTTTTCTTTTGAGAGGGGGGGATGAATAGGATGGGGGGGATGAATATATGAATAGGTTCATATAGATAAGATCCATTCAGCTAATTTTTTTTAAAATGCTAAATTGTTTAACTTAGGTGTTCCTAACATAAAAATTGCTTTCTAAAAAAAAAATTTGCTTTTTGCTTCATTCCCACGTAATAAATGAGGTTTCGTAAGTTCCCATACGCAAATGTACACACTCATGCATTAATTTATACTTGATCGATATTGTGATTTATGAAGAAGATAGGAGATATTGAAGCTCACGGACCTTCCCATTTGGGTCCAAATTTGTCATGTATTAAATTTTGTTTATGAAGCAAATTTAAGATTTGCTTTTGCTGTAAATATACACTTGGGGTTCTTTCATTTAAATTCATTTAACGGCACCTCCTTTCTACCTCAGCCACACAGCACCCTATTTTGTACCTGGGTAGGGTTTCTCTTTCATTCCCCTGCTCCTGTTTATGACGTAGGTAGACACACTGAGGCAGAAGAGTTGCTTTAAGGATCTAGGACAAAGAATACTGCTGAACGAGCCTTTTAAACCTGTCTCAATGTAATGATTTTAAGGTTGGAACAACTGCAAACTAAACAAAGCTTAACAAAGATGTTGGTCCTCGCAAGTAAACAGATGATTAGATCACAATCTTGAAGCAATGCCTTAAAGGACTTCCAGAAAAGCACCCACAAAAGCACATTGAAAGATTCTGCTGAGACCCTCATCTAGAACCCAAACCTAAACATCTGCTTCATTTTAAGGCAGGATAAGTTCCTTTAGGGTCGGATGTACTCTGGGCAGTACACCCAGCCCCCAAATAAGTCTTCCTACAGCACAGCAATGGCCAAATCCTTCTCCTGCTTGAAAGGGCTCCTAACTACCTAGGAACCAAGTCTCCTATCTGAAATTCCAGGCCTTCCACACGCTGATATCGTTCTAAGTGCTCACAATCGTTACCTAAACACATTTAAATCTCTCCTACGTTAACAGACAAGACTTCTTCCTTGATGGCACACTCCTCCTGTCGCCAGTCTTTCTTCTCCAAATCCACTGTTCCAGTAGCTATCTGCTCTTCTTCTTCAGGGCACGCTGCAGTGTGCCCACGGGCTCTCGCTGCTTCCTTGAAATCATCCTCATCTTATCAATCACTGAATCCAACGAGCACTGCTTACCCTTTCCATGGCAGGATTTGACACCCCTGACTTCTCCCTAAAGCACTCTCTCCTGGGGTGCCTGGGTGGCTTAGTCAGTTAAGCATCGACTTTTTTTTTTTTTAAAGATAGATTTATTTATCTATTTATTTCAGAGAGAGGGAACAGAGAGCATAAGGAGGAGGAGTGGGAAAGGGAGAAGCAGTCTTCCCACAGAGCGGGGAGCCTAATGTGGGATTTGATCCCAGGACCCTGGGATCATGACCTGAGCTGAAGGCAGATGCTTAACCAGACTGAACCACCCAGGCACATCCACTCTTGATTTCAGTTTAGGTTATGGTGTTGGGGTCCTGAGATTGAGCCATGGGCATACAGTCTGTTTAGGATTCTTTCTCCCTCTACCCCCACCCCCCATCCTCTTTAAAAAAAAAAAAAAAAGGGTGGGCGGAAGAGCTCTCTTCCTTGGCTGGCCTTCTGCTTCCCTTCCTGGTTCGACAGTCATGCCCTGTTCTCCTCTACAGGCTCTGTGTCCCTGTTGCTCTCCTGGGTAGTCATCAAGGGTCGGCCTCAGGCCTGCATTGTGCTTGCTTTATACTCTCCACTTAAAAGCTCATCCATTCCCAAGATTTCTGTTTCCTTGTTGACAATTTCCAGATCCATGTTGTCATTCCTGACCCCTCTGGGTTCTATGGATGTCTCCACTCAGCAGTTTAAGTTCAACCCTGATTTCAGCTCTAATTTCCCAATTGAAATCTCAGTTAAGATCCACTTTTTAGGGGTGGCTGGGTGGCTGGTTGGTTAGGCATCTGACTCGATTTTGGCTCTCGGGGCCTGGGATTGAGTGAGCCCTGTGTGGGCTTTGCACTCAGTGGGGAATCTG